ATATCGCTTGATACATGTGTGTGTCTATATATATATATATATATATATATATATATATATATATATATATATATATGAAACCACCAACATAGTGTACTTTGGGCTTTCTGAACCTTCTCCTTCCCAGCCGAGATATTTACATGAAAAAGGAGAACGATGGCCTAACATTCACATGGCTTTGGTACTCCCTACCGTGCCAAATTACGCCATCAAAAAGTACATTGTGATGGATTTTTCAAAACCATCCTAGTAACGTCATAAAGGTCATGACGCCCCTCATGAGAAAGCATGATCGTACTTTTGAGCCATTGGGTAGACGCAGAAAGGTAAATATGCAATGCCCCAATGGCCAATGGTCCTGCATACCTGAAAGCACACCACATCCAATCTTTGCTTGAACTTTTGCTTACAGACGAACCTGTAGTTAGGAAGAAAAAAACTTATCTAACCAACGGAAGTATGCCCGGAAATACTACTTCATGGCGAACCGATGCAGCCTTAACTGCGAGCGCCTGCAAACTGTAAATAAACCTTTTGGGACTAAATTGAAATGGGATATTACCAAGCTTAGCAGTTCATCAACCTGCACTGTGATCTTGTAAACATGTGATTCAAAGACTTCTTTTCAAATGCACTAAAGCTAAACTAAAATGCAATAAACGACGGGGAGAGCAGGTCATTGGTCATCCTAAATTGTACAGACAACAAACATCTTGGACAAGGAGGTCATCATCGAAAGAAACAGTTAGTTTTTCTACCATCCTATTTCCTTTACAGATCCCTTAGCTTTTCCAGATCCGCACCAATGAAGCAATATCATTGCACACAGGATCAATAAAACTCGGATTAATTTTGCAGCAAAGTATTTTGAACTTCATCTCTTAGTGGGGCATTAATGTCCAGTGTAGCAAGCTCTTCTAATTCTTGCACTGCTGCGATTGCGGTAACAGGACTTTCATGAGTTAACTGAGGCTTTAGCGTGCCGGCAGCTTGCTTGACTTTCGATTGCTGCAAATAACATTACGACAGCACAATCACCACCACATATCATTGTATTACTACCAGAAATAATAACAAAAATAAAAATAACAAGAAAAGGGAACTAAAAAAACTAACTAATGAGAATAGTTTAAACTTACGAAGTAATCCAGTTTTCGCTTGAGATCCGCATTTGCAGCAACTAGGGAATCAGATGCTACAGTCGACATCACTGCATTCTTTTTCCCCACAAAACCAAAGAAAAATGATAGTAAGTTCAACTTAAGCATGTTGTTAAAGACGAGAACAAAAAATAAAGAGATAATGTTAAGAGAAAACTTAAATTTCAAATTTCCAACGTCCAAAAAGCAAAATATTGAGATAAAATTATCACATTCTTTGGGATGCTCATTATTTTGTGGTCTATTTCTTCATTTCTAGCACATATCCCGCATGCTGCTTATCTTATACAGCCTAAGTTTATGAGAACAGTGTCTCCCTCTACTACAATACAAATCCACGGTTAAATGATATTTAGACAGTAAAGAAAAAAAAAAACAAAACAAAACAAAACTGAACAGAATGAAGCATGACAGCTAACCAATGGTCAGGCCCGCACCATGAACAAGAAATCTGATTCTAAGTTAAAGTGGAATCTAGAACTAAATAAAATTAATCCCATATCCAATATTAGGACACGTTTTTCAAAAAAAAATTAGGACACATGCCGGCCATTTAATCATACGTAGGTGCATGCATGAACCTATTTCTCTTAATTATTGAGCAGTCATAGTTTCTCAAAACACAAATTTTGTCTATCATAACTAAATCTTATCTTTATAAGAAGGAAATTCCAGCTCAAATAATTGAATCTTAATTTAAGAAAATTTATCCCATATCTTGGAACATGCGCCATACCACTTGTTCAGACAAAAGTGCACATCTACAAGTTTACATACTCAGTCTACGTGTTAAAATAGAATTTCTTGCCCTTAGAATAAACCATCCTAGGAGGAAAACATGAAGAGACAAAATTAAGAGCAACCAGTTGTCAACCCCAACCGATGAAAGAAATTCTGCATTTAACACTAACATAAAAAATTCATTTTTACACCCTGTATTTTAATGTTATTAAAATAAAGATGATTATCCCATATCTAAAAAAAAGCTTTAACAAAAAAAGCTTTAACAAGAATCAATTACTCTGGGACAATTCTCTGTACAACTTAATCCGGCAATAGTGCACAATGTACTTTTAGGAGGAAGCAAGATTGCAAGAACCAAACTCATGAATAAAAAATAAGGATCATTCTCACCTATACCCTGAACTTTAGGGTCATTCCCATTTGGCCCAAACTTTAAAAACTATGACCTTGCCCCTGAATTTTGAATCAATGCCACTAACCCCCTTATGCTAGAATTTTCCGTTCAAACCAGACGGAATAGGAGGGGGTTAAGTGCAGCCACATTGTCTTGTTACATTTGTATTTAACAAAAATTCTAACAAAAGAGGTTAAGTGGGACTAATTAGGCCCGTTCATTTCACCGATTCGAGTTTAGAATTCGAGTTTTGCTACAGTAAAAAACTCTCATAAACAGTCACATCTAACTTTTTTACTACAGTAAAAAGCTCTCACATAAAGTCACATCTCAACTCGAATTAAAAATTCGAATCAGCGACTAAACGGGCCCCAAGTTCAAAGGCATAGTGGGAGTTTTGTTTGAGGGGCAAAGTGGGAATGACAATAAAGATCAGGGGGACAGATGAGATTGATCCAAAAAGTAGTAATGATGACTACGAAGTCTGAGACAAATAATAATATCTATCTTCCAGCAGGAGCTACTTATTAAAAAGAAAAAATCAAGAGCTACGCTTTTATCCAAAATTATGGACTGGACAAAACCGTAAACATATAAGCTAATTTCAAACTAAATTATTCCTTTGCCTAAGAAATGATCTAACGTTTCAAAATAGATTGTTAACATTAAAATTATTTTAAACAGGAACTGAAGTACAAAACATGACTGATTTAAAAAAAAAAAAAAGGGGGGGGGGGGGGGGGAGCGAGTGAAAGATTTCAAAAATATATTAAACTGTATGACACGCACACAGAGAAAAATGTACTTTGAAAAAATATAGATTCACTATGGCAAAATCAATATGAAGTTATATAGACATATCTCCTGGTAATTTTTAAGAACAGAATACACCTACTTTTCCTCTATTGAGATTGATTTTCCTGAATATAATTCATGCACTAACGTGTCAGTGTCGACATACACTCGACATACATATTAACGACCTATTTCAACTGAAATGTAGATATACTCTTTAGAAACATTACCGCCTCTAAGATAATAAAATGTATAAGCGACCTATTTCAGCTGAAATGTAGATATACAATTTGAAAGCATTACTGCCTCTAAGATAATAAATTACAAAAGAAAAATCCAATAACCTAATTCAACTTGAAAATATCCAAATCTTTACATAGATGCTTAATTATTTCAGTCCTCTTAGGCACAGATTCATAAATTTCTCGCTCATTTTGGATATCACTATACATCTTGTCAAATTATTTATTTCTGTAACTTCGAATATCAGCCTAACAACACTAAATGGTCTGATTTTTCGTGCATGATTTTCCACAATGAAGAACAAGATTTATCATAAACATGAAAAGATTTATATATTTATTTCCTATTATACTTGAGCGAATCTTAACTTTCAGTAAATAAACTGGAGATTGAGAGAAGATTTGTAGCGTCAAAATCTACCATAACCAAATAATTACTCACCTTTCTGGGCCGCCCCACAGACCTACCAGTACGATTCTTTATTTTGTTGAGACCAGAAACCTTGGGCGGCCGACCACGCCTTTTCCCAGATATTATCCCAACACCAGCAGTAGTACCAGCCGGGACAGCATTCTTCTTGGGCCTCCCTCTGGTCCTTGGAGTAACAGCTAATATATTAGGAATACTGTTTTGGTCAACTACACCAACCACAGGCACATTTGTAGCATATGGAATGATCATGGTCTTGGGCTCTGCTTTAGATGGGCGTCCAGGGCTCCTCTTAGGGCCCAATACTCCCGTAACAGACTTGGGCTTCCGAGGATGCCCTGGACTCTTCTTTGGCAGCCTATTTCCCACCAATTTAGACTTAGAACCAGGTGGACGACCTCGGCCCCTAGGGACAAACCCAGCCACTCCTTGTGCTACTCCAACATTCACAGCTTTCCCCGGGCGTCCAGGCCGTTTCTTCGCCGATGCAGAATTGGGCTCATCCATGAGTCCCAGAGCAACTAACACTGGCTGAGAATTGGGCTGAACTTGGGGCTGGGCGGTGGTCTGGCCATTGAACTGAATGGTTGGCTGGGAAGCTGGCTGTACATTGAACTGGACAGCATGCGGTGGAATAGGCTGGCTGCCAGTGGGCTGTGCAACAGGCTGGCTAGTGGGCAGCATAATAGGCTGGACACCTGGCTGTAGAATAGGCTGGATAGTGGTCTGAACAATGGGATCAGCATTGGGATTAAGCTTGGCCTTTGGAGGACGCCCCCTGCCTCTAGGAGTCCCAGTGGTAGGAAGAGTCAAAGCCTGTGAAGCAGTAGCTGAAGAATCTGATTTAGGGAGGTTATACGGCTTCTTAGGGAGCTTATACGACTTCTTAACCATAACGAGGAGACCATTGTTCTTCAAGCGCTTGAGATGGTTAGTCAACAAGGCTGAGTGAGTAGAAGGGAGGCCCATATAGGCTTGCTCTATATATTTGGCTATGGCCCTCTTGCTCGATCCATCCCTCTCCTTCAATGCTCCAATTGCTGAATATATCATCTGCCAAAACATTAAATTATTTCATCAAACTAAAGTATAAATAATAAGATAATGGTCTGTGAGCGAGAGGAAAGACAAGGCTCATGGAGTGCGACTGAGAGAGAATCAACAAGTTAATTTCAAAAAGAGGCGAACCTCAGCATATGGTGGGTGATGAGGATTGGGGGAGGGGCCATTGCCAGGGCCTGCAGTTGGAGTGGGGTTAGCAACCGGATGGTTTAAGCTATTTTGAACTTCTTCATGGGCACCAATAGGAATTGTATTGACGATGTTCGGGGCTGCAAAAGTGGTGTTAATGGTAGCAGTATTGGCGGATGGAGGTTGTGGTGGTGGTTGTTGTTGTGGTGGCAGTGGCAGTGATGGTGGAAATGTCTCCATATATCAAGAGAGTTGATAGTAATGTAGGATGAAGTGAAAGTCTTTCAAGGAAATTGGAGTTTCCAGAAAACGGAAGGTTTCCACCTCCAGAAAACAAGGGAATTTGAAAACTAAATAGGTAAAATATAAGACAATCACGTTTTCTCCATGAAATATCCTGCAAAACAGACCTCTCTTGAGTTACCTTTAAAAAAATTCTACTTGATAACTATGACAACAAAAGGTAAGAGAGAAACATCACCACAAAAAAAGCAATAGCTGTAACTATTTAATAAACGAAACTCCCATCTTCAAGTTCACAGAATAACTGCCAAGTTCGAGTTATTTCAAAATCAAACGAATTAAGAATTAACATTTTGGTCAAGATTAGAGAAATCTAGATTCAATGAAGCAATAGGCCATTGCGTTTAGCTGCAATTTCGAGTTCCATCAAGATGAAATCATGAAATTTTATTGACTCAAACAAACAAGAACCAATAATCAATCAACATAAAATATATAGAATTAGACCGCAAACAGTACATCTCATTGTGTCCATTGGAAACCCAAACACACAAAAAATGTGTTTTTCGCGGTTGAAATCTGTCTACTAATATTCCATATTGAGAAAGAAGATTTCCTTCGTAAGCTACATCCAGGAAAGCATTAAGAAGCGAGCTCACCAATCACCTGATTTTTCACTTTGTGACCACCCACATTCCCCACTAGTTAATGAAAACAAACAATCAATATTCAATAATGTAACTACACTGTTCAAAATCCCATAATTTGATCCTCAAATTCTATTGGGGACCATGAAACATTTAAAAAGAAAAAATTCTTGAAAACGAACTCCTTTTATGAATAATAATACTGTGACAACTGAAACAAAACGCACTCACACAAACACGCCTTCCTGACAGGTTACATCACTACTCAGAGGCTTCTTTCTCACTTAAATCCGAAATACGTAAAGCTCTAATAAAGATTCTATAATCAATAAAAACGAAAAATTATCACTTTGTGGGTATACAAAGTTAAATGAGCGTGAAGAAACAAGAAACATAACAAACGGATCTACAAAGTTAAACCTAACTCTCATATTCAGTAGCAAAGAAAGCAACCGTCCAAGTAAAGTAGAATAACGCGACTTAAACCTTCTTTCTCCGACATTTTCTCGCAAACCAAACAAAGCCCAGAATCCCCTCAACTAGTCAGTACTCAGTAAGGAAAAAAAAAAAAAAAAACAAGAAGAAGAAGAAAAAGAAGGGCTTCATAAAATTTTTTCGGCAGCACAAAACGGAAGCTCAGAAAATTTGGGATTAGGGTTTCATTTCTTGGTTTTCTTAATTTCAAAATCAAAGAGAGATTTTTACCTCTGGGTATTCTACGCTAGCAAGGACGAAAGATTGTGTTTCTCAGGAGCAGCCGATGATTTCCATGAAAGTAATTTGTTGTTTTCGAGAGAGAAGAGAAGAAAAAAAAAGTGAAAGTGAGAGAAAACAAGAAGACCCAAAAATGAGAGACCCCGAGGAGGTCAGGTCAGGTGAGGCTTTTCGATTCAACGGGATCTGGAAACGTCCCCTCGTGACGTTACTATCCCTTCTGTCTTACGTTATTTACAGAGAATCTCAACTTTAACGGAAGCAATTGAAAGGGTAGTTTTGTATTTTCACATTCCATAATATCTTTAGTCTTATCCTATCCCCCTCCGTTTGTGCTTGACCTTTGTTTTCGGTAATTTTATACCCAAAAAAAAAAACGCAAATCTGATCTCTTTTTCTTTTTTTCTTTTTTTCCCGATCGCAATTCTGCGAATTTTTTACAATTTGAGATTTGAGACCTGCGATAGTTCTAAGTGAGCAGAGGCGTTTGTAAAAGTTACATAGGACTGTTTTGAGTAGTATATTTTAACGGTTAAATTTAATTAAAATTAAATAAGATTAAAAGAAATATGTAGAATAAATAATTTTTAATGTAGATTTGATGGTTAAAAATTTTTAAAAAAATAAAATTATCAGTAATTCTATTTTTTTAATCTTATGTGAGAAACTCTCAAGTTACGTGAATGAAAAGCTTAGGGCTTGTTTTTTTGGAGTTTAATTTGAGTATAATTTTTTAGTTGAATTTGAGTTATAACTTAAGTTGAACTTGTAACTTGAGTTTGTGTTTGGTTGTGTACATTTGAGTTATGGTTTGAGATAAGAATCTTTTTGAGTTTGTGTTTGAGTGAGTTAAAACTTGAATTTGTATTTAGATAGTATTTTAATAAAAACTCAATGCTGATGAAAAATTTTAATATGGTATATGGGTCTGGTTTTATTCGTCTTTTCGTTGTCAACGCATAGAAAAAAAATCATCTCAATCAGAATTAAAACGAAAAAGTTATAGCATTTTTAAGAATAGAAAAATAGTGTTCATTAACTTGAGTTCGAGTTTCTGAACTCGAGTTGAAGGGGAAACTTGAACTCGAGTTTTAGGGCCCGTTTAGTTCGCTGATTCGAGTTTTTAATTCGAGTTGAGATGTGATTTTATGTGAGAGCTTTTTACTGTAGCAAAAAAGTTAGATTTGATTGTTTGTGAGAGCTTTTTACTGTAGCAAAACTCGAATTCTAAACTCGAATCAGCGAAATGAACGGGTTTCAAACTCGAGTTCAAACTTAAAAGAACATGAACTCGAATAAAGTTATAACTCGAGTTACTTTTTTTAAGTTTTTCACTCAAAAATTAGCTCCCCGAAGCCCCTTAATTATTCACCTTTTAACATAAATAGATTCTTTAGAGCATGTTATTTTGCTCCACCATTAAGAATAATTGTTTTTACTAGCTTTTTAACGGTCATATATATGTAGATCCGTATTAAAAATTTACAGTACTACACAGAACTATTTTTATTGCAGATCTAACCATTAAAAAATTAATCTAATAGTAAAAATACAATTTCTACTGGTAGGTAGAGCAAGATAGTTTATTCCACCATAAAAATTCTCTAGCATAAAATAAGAAGTTCAAATAAAATTTAATATAATTTTTTGGGCTCATTAATTAGTTTGGAGAAACAAACAGGGCTAATTAGAGAAAATTTTCTCATAGACGAAAGGAAAAAGATCATTATTTTTTTTTATTAAACACACTCTCTCTTTTTTTTCTTTCCTCTCACTACAACTAGCACACATTGTCGCCACCCTTATTCCAAGTCCGACGTTGCCCTATCCTAGAACTGTATGTTCACTCGTCACCATCAAGCACTCATTGACGTTGTCACCGCCCCTATTCCAAGTCCGACGTTGCCCTACCCTATAGTTGTATGTTCACTCGTCTCCATCGAGCACTCATTGATGCCGAGTCACAGAGCTCTTTTTTTTATCTCGTGGCGATGACCCAGACGAACAATTATCATTGGTGGAGAGTGTAAAGAAGGGATCGACCTCATGTTACTCTCTTACTTCGATGTTCAACCTCCGAGCTCCCTCTTTCATTTTGAGAACTAGTGGCGTCGAAACCGTCAATGTGCGATCACAAGCGGGGATCACTGTTTGGTTGCAGCATAAGAGATGGCGAAAGTGGAAGATAGAAATAGACGAATGAAAACATAGGAGAATAAATTAGGGTTTTAAGCATAGGGGCACTTTTTTTTTATTGTACATAAGGATTAGTAAACCGATAGTTTACCAATGTTCAACTGAAGGCCACAAGATTAGTAGTAACTGAAAATGATTAAAATTGACCTTGTATGACCAACTATCTTCGGTCAAAGTTTACATATGTCGATTCTGTTGGTGATTTTTGCAATATAAAAAGACTAGTCGGTTTGATGGACTACCTATAAGAAAATAATCCAGACTAACTCTAAGAAGCTGTCCACTAAACTAAGGAAATTATGTAATTTCCTTGAGCATATATTTAGTGTGTGTTTGGAAGGAGGGATAGATTGGTGGAGGGATAAGGGTGTGGAAAATAAAATATAACTTTATTTGGTAGGGTGGAAAGAGCGGAGGAAGAGAAAATGCAGAGGGTAATTTTGACAAGTGCCTTTTAAAATAGTATTATTAAGGATTTTTGAGTCTCAACATTAGCCTATTGAATTTTGCCCATTTAGAGTAAGTAATTTGACAGATTATTATTTATAATTTGACGAATTATGTTGGCGACGGATCTCCGGTCATTGATGGCAGGTCTCCGATCACCAGTGGCGGGCGTAATTTGACAAATTACTATATATGATTTGACAGATTATTATTAAAGGGGTAACCTATCAAAACAAAAAATAAAATAAAACTGCAAAATAAAATGTGATTTAAGGGTCAATTTTTACAATTTTCTCAAGGTAAAGGGGTTGTGAATCCTTTGAGCCCACAAAATTGTTTCCTAAGGACTGAGAAAGGGTGAAGCAAAAAAAATGGTTGTTATTCTCATATTGACCTTCGTCAATCTAAGAATTTCCTAAAAACTCTTGAGAGATTTTAGCTTGACTTTTGTATTATTCTCTATTACTACAGTTATGTTATCGATTGATACGTAAATGAAAATTATCACATGCTATTTTCTTTTTTCTTTTTTAATCTAGCATTGATACACAAGCATATGTTTATGTTTATACAAACATATATAAAATATGTCTAATATCTTCTATAAGTCTCGCAACTGTAATTTCCTTTTCATTCTTTATTTTCTTTTTCTAAATCTTTTATGATAAAGTCTAACATATACTATTGGTAATGTTTAAATCAAGTAGTATTCTTAACTTCAAAAAATATTAATAATCAAACTCCTCACTATATTGTTACTATATTTTCGTTAAAAATCTTATTTGTTCCCTAAAACCATTTGGCTTCAATAAGTTAAAATGGACAAATTAATGTTTTAAACTTATATAATTTAATTCAATATATATAACAAGCAGATACTAAAGTGATGCATAGCTATTTGTAAAATGTAAGTTGATTATTATGTAATTAGTTTTGATGATTGTTTGTATTTTATTGTAAGTCTTTTAGTTTATAAGATTTTTGTGCCAAATTGAAATAAGATTCTGAATTCTTTTTCTACATACATGATACGTGCATACATAAATAAGATATATGTTTTTCTAATTTCATTTTTTATATTTCAGACTTGTTACTTTACCAATCCATCCCTTTTTTGCCCCGTTAATTTCACCGATTCGAATTTAGAATTCAAGTTTTGCAACAGTAAAAAGCTCTCAGAAACAGTCAAATCTAACTTTTTTGCTACAGTAAAAAACTCACATAAAATCATATGTCAACTCGAATCAGCGAACTAAACAGACCCTTAAACTGTTAAAATATGGGTCAACAATAGTTTTATACTTTAACAATAACATATTTAAGTTGTCGCTTCTTTAATACTCAAAGTCACCCGTTGCCATGGTCATCCTCTAGATAACCATCGGTGGTCTACCCAGTGACCAGCAGTCGTCATTCCCCGCCTAATTCATTTTACTCGATGAGTTTGTGTCCTCTACCTAAGTCAGACGTCGAAATTGACGTGCGCTCGCAAATCGTGACTGGTGCAGTGGCTGTAGTCATTCATTGGATGACCATCGACAAGTTAATTGAGCCAATTGTACAACAATAGCTTGTTGAGAGAATAATGCAGAGATGTTGAGATAGGCTTCTTGAATGACGGAATCTGAGGTTAGTGATTCTGTTCCATGAGCTTTTTGGTTTTAGTAAGGAGGACCAAGACCTTAAAAGAAATAGCATATAATAAAGGTCCCTGTTTAGAAAGGTATTTTGTACGTATAATTAGAACAAAGCAAATACGAGTGTTCAACGACCATGCTACGAAGCTTAATAGGGCAAAAACACAATAGTAATCTGATAGATTACCAATGTTCAACTGCGAGATTAGCAATCTGGCTCTGAATATTAAGGGATTGTTTAGATGACTGGTTAGAAGCTGCTTCTGTCTACCTGAAATCAAAAGGCTGCAGGCTGCTACTATTTAAAAAAAAAAAAGTGAGAAAATGGATAATTTATCTTGAGAGTGCATAAATCTGGACATTTACCTTTTACTCTTAATAAATACTCTTTTGTTAGTGTAATTGTTTGACTAAAAAAGTTATGAATCAATAGTAAATGGTAAAAATCTTAATTCATACACTTTTAATGAGTATTTATCAAGATTACCCATAAACAGTTCGATGCTTTATTAAAAGTATTTTTACTCTCCACGAGAGTTTCTTAATGTGGCTTCTTAAAAAAGATCTTTTAAATTGTTGATAAAACTTTTATATAACTCAGGTAATATATTATAAATTTCATTATAATATTTTTACTGCTTCTTAGGACATTTTAAAATTATCTTGACTCATTTAAGTTGTTTTAAAAATATGATTCTAAACACTTATTAAAAATATACAACTGTTATTTATTTATTTTTTTACAAATTAAATGTAAAAGCAAAAATCTACTAAAGGAACTTTAAGGATATGTTTGGTAGGAATGATAGATGAAGGGAGGGAGAGGGGTGAAGGGAGAGCGTGAATCCCC